GGATTCGCCGCGCGTTAACAGCAACGTCGCCGCAAATATTACGATCGCGGAATTCCACCGCGGGGGTAAAAAGCGCCGGTAGGATTGCCGGCGGTTAATTAATTAATCGTGTCAAACTGGGATTGGTGGTTCTTACTTTAATGCCGTGTAATACCTGTAATACCACTATCGATTTGATGCAGATCTCTTAATGCCGCCGGGGTAGATTACGGTTCAAAACGTGCGAGCATTTTGCGCGCGCCTTATCGCGCAATTTCAGATAAAATCGGCAATAAATACGCACGCGATTCGCTCGTGCGCGTGTCGCCTGTTATTCGCCGAATTGTCTCTAGCGCGTTTCGTCAATCGCACGTGCGATAAAGCAGGAAGTGCACAACTATTCTTTCTCTCTTCTCTCTCTCTCTCTCTCTCTCTCTGCGTCTGTATTCTCTTTTTTCTTCCTTTGTTTGTAACGACTGGACCTCGCAACCTCGCAAAATTGCTGTAAAGGCAAAAGCATATATTTTTTATGTTTCGAGAGTATTTGCTCGACGTGATACGATATTTATTCTTGATATGCTTCTTATGCTCTTTGACGCTTGATACAGCACGACGCGAAGAGTATATGAACTGAGACGATTGTACATTCGGAATAAAAAATATCTCGCGTCGGAAACTTATCGGCAATAAGGATAGATTAAGCGAAAGAAACTTCAAAGTTATCGTACATTGATTGTTCCCTTCAGGCACAGACGAATATATACAGAGTGTCCGGGATCTTTTGGAAACGAAAAATTGTTAAAGATTAATCAGATGAAACTGAGAAGAAAAGTCATGTGCCATTTTGCAAAAATAGTTATTAAGTTATTAATAATTGAAATGAGTTATTAATGATTGACCACGTCTAAAGGCTCTTTTAATTGGTAGCTTGAAAATTTGCAAAATGGTGTTTATTTGCAAAATGGTAAAGGCCTTTTTCGTTCAGAATGACCTAGTCTACAATTATATGATACGGTTATCGTGTCTAGCGATAGATACGAGTACATTGAACTTTGAACTCTGAATCTTGAACCTGTCGCTTAGGCACAACTTCAGAGAACCGTTTAAATGGATTGGCGCTGATGAATCTTTATACGGATTTAACGTCATCCATTGAAGATATTTTAAACGAAATAGCTAAAAGCTCGAGAGGACTTATTTAAATAATACAGACATAAATATATATAGAAATACATAAAAAATATAATAAATATAATAAAAATATATAAAAAACATAATATATATAATAATAATATATAAAAAAGATAATAAATATAATAAATATAATAAATAAAGAATAAAAAAAACCTTTTTTAACTGATTTTAAAAAAGTAAAAAATAAAAACAAAAAAATAAAAGAAACAAAACAATGGGATTATAAGTTTCGCCACGTCCTCGTCGTTAATCCTGGAGTTAAAGCTAAGGAGTGAAACAAAGAAACATATAAAATAAAACAATTTTATTAAACTCCCCCTCCCATTATCGATGTCAGGACTCGCTAGTGGTTCTGTACATATATTTTCCTATTCGCATCTCTCCGATAACTTACCTCAAGTATGAGAAAGCGAGAGAGAGAGAGAGAGAGAGAGAGAGAAAGAGAATACCAAACATTTCGCGGCGAGCCACTCTCCGCACACACACACACACACACACACGATGCTATTTACATTAGCGAGCGGCGCCACGTGCGCCTGGAATCGCTAATTCTCACGAACTGCAACAGAGAGAACGAGCAAGACACGGACAGAGAAAGAGACGACAAAGGGAGAGAAGAAAAGAGACGGGCGGGAAGAGGAGAGCGATATGTCTCTGAGCGATACCTCAGCTGTCTGTCAAAACAACGCCGCGCGCGATCTATCCGTCCGTCCGTCCGTTCTTCGTCCGTCTCTTCGTTATCACCGTGAAATCGAACGCGCAGGTGCGAAATCGGCGATCGCGGCTCGTCGACTCGTCGCCGCCGATAGGTCTCACACGACGATGCAATCCCGCCGTCCCGATCCGTCAATGAGGAAAATTGGCGTAAGAGCGCATGAATGGGCCCCGGCGGTGAATAAAGTGGCCGCGCGTTAGTATAGGTTTATGGAAGCAAGCCGGTTTTAGCTACGCTAATAGCATAGTAATGCTGGCTGATCTTTTCGAAATCCCGTAAGAGCATTAACCGCTCGCACGTGAGCAAGTTAAATTGCTATGTTGCGGGTATACCGCGGGTATGTGTAGCTATCACCTGGCTACAGAGCGCGTCAAAAGGAAGGGTTGCGGCGAATCGCCGACGGAGCGAGGAGGGGGTGAGAGACAGGGGCGGGAAGGGGAGGGAGAGGAAGAGAATACCGGGCCCCGCGTGGTTCGGGGAGAAAAATTATTCGCGCCGGGCGTCTTCGAACGGTAACGAGATTAGGCATTGTGGGTTAAAGCGCGACAGAGCGACGCGCGTCTAAGCCGTGGAGTCCAGTCCAGCCGCGGGATTGTTATCACGCGTGCCATCGCTTTTTGGGACGGGCTGTAACCTGATTTTCGATAACGCGCTAATAAAGCGTGATCTCCATTCCGTGGATGCGTTTGATATCACGTCGAAGATTAATATTCAGCGGAAGCTACCGTTGCGCCCGATTAGGCGACGCGCTGCGCCCTGCGAGAAGGTGAAACGTAAACAACGCGGGGAAGGGGGAGGGGGGGCGGCGGCGGGGCGAGAGATCTCGCTGATTCAAGCAACACCGCGCGTTGTCGATCTCCATTCTTGTTTATCTCGAGGCGAGGTGCGCGCGCGCGTGTCTGGTTGGCGTAACTTCTTCCGTACTTTCCGTCTCTTAAAGTTCATACTTTGTTTACGCGAGCGAGGCAGTCGCGAGCGATCGGCAAAGTTTCCGCGGACCGTAGATCGATAGCGTTCAAGTCCCGTAGCCGTGAAACTAGCGAAGGAAAGCAAAGAAGAGTCATTAATCCCCTCGACACATCGATACTTGAAGTATCGATGCCAACGGTGACACGGCATGATCGAATTTTTTCGATCCGGGTCGTCCCGACCCAGCCGGAGCGAATCGCACCCGCCCGGCCCGAGAAATGCGAGCCGAAACACGCTTGCTCGTTCGCTCTTAACGTCACGAAGTAATGGCCAGCGTCTCTTACGCTCGCGTATTTTCCTCGTAATCTATTCGTACACCTCCGCGAGCGAGCGAGAGAGCCGCCGCGCCGATGCGAGAGGAAGGAAGTGCGATCGCGCGAGGCGTAAAAGAGACAGGAAGAGCGAGAGAAGAGAGGACTCTCTCTCCGGGCTTGAGTATATTTTTAGAGACGGACAGTACGTAACGCCGTTGTCGCACAGCGTTGCCATCGCGGCTGCGAGGCTGCTTCGCATCCCGAGCTGCCATTGGGTCCCCATCAGGGTGCCGCGGAGACCGTCGGCACTGCCTCCGCCACGCCAACTCCGGAACGAGTCGACGCGGTTCGACGGCGCGTGTCGTTCCCTCTCACTTCATCTCACGCGTCGCGCTTGCATCTGTCTTTTTTCTCTCATCAGCCTTCCCTCCCTGCCGCGCAGCACCCACTCGTCCTTCTCTCTCCCGCACCCGAGCCCGCTCTCCGTGTCGGTCTCTCCTCCAGCCAAACCCCTCCCCCCTGTTTGCGCAAAACGCGCGCCCCCACCTCTCTCGCCCTGCCTTCTCGCTCGGCCTTCCCCTCTCGCGCTACCCCACCGCTCTCGCTCGCACTCGCGCCTTTTCGTCGCGCCATCGTGCCGCGCTTCTCTGTCGTTTCGAGATCGCGTCGCGCACCCCATCCCTTCCCAATGCTCCGACGCCGACGTTCCTCCCCCGCCGGCGGCCGGCGAACGAGCGCGTCCCCCGCGCGCATAACCCCTCGACCAAGAGAGCGATCCGTAACAACTAAAGTTCTCGTGAAAAGTTGAGCCGGGTGCTCTCCTACGCCCTCCTGCTATAATAGCCGCTCGCGCGCTGGTCTCTCTACCGACCATCGTCGTCGTCGTCGTCGTCGTCGTCGTCGTCGTCGTCGTCGTCGCCGTCGTCGTCGTCGTCGTCGTCGTCGTCGTCGTCGTCGTCGTCGTCGTCGTCGTCGTCGTCGTCGTCGTCGTTTCGCGCGTTACCTCCCGTCTCTGTCCATCTGTCCCACATTCCGAGAGACAGAGAGAGAAGGAGCGAGATGGACGAACGCGGATAAAGGGAGGGAACGGAAGGGTGATAGGGAGAGACAGAGGGCGAGAGCGAGCGAGCGAGCGAGCGAGCAAGAGAGAGAGAGAGAGAGAGAGAGAGAGAGAGAAAGAGAGAGAGAGAGAGAGAAAGGGGAAGAGAGAAAGGGTGAGAGAAGGAGAGAGAGGGAGAAAGAGAGAGGGAGAGAGAAAGAAAGAGACAGAGAGAGAGAGAGAGAGGGAGAGAGAGAGAGAGAGAGAGAGAGAGAGAGAGAGAGAGAGAGAGAGAGAGAGAGAGAGAGAGAGAGAGAGAGAGAGAGAGAGAGAGTTAGAGAGAGTGAGAAGGGACGAATGCACGAGAGAGCGAGAGACCAGAGGGAGAAAGAGAGGAGAGCCGCGCCGTGGACGACTCCGACGGATTAGGGAATAGAATAGTCATTATCGTGTATACATCCGTATTCTACGAGCTATCGGTCGCGCTCGTTCGGTGAGTCGGTGGAGTGGCGAAACGCCGTGTGGTGAGCGCCGGTTTCGGAGTGGTGTGCGCGTGAGGTGCCGAGAGATCGAACGACCTAGCCCGTCTCTTTTCTGACATTGGGAGCGCGCCGGCGAGTACTAGCGCGTCGGGCCAGCGGTGTGTGTTGGAGTACGAGTTCGGGGGCTTCGGCTGGGATTATCGGGCTCAAGACGAGGAATATCGACGCGGGAGCACCGGCGCCGGCAATTACGAGTGCTCGTGGGTGAGTAGAGAGCGTCCTCTCGCTATTTCCGCCACGTTGCGGAAGTACCGCGTCGCGTCTCGCGTCTCCTCGCCTCGTCTCGTCTCGTCTCGTCTCACCTCGCGCGGCACTTTCGCCGATTGTCGTCGCGCTGCTGCTGTGTGACGTGCTGCTGCTGTTGCCGCTGACCACCGGTCCGATCTGAGATGTGCGTCGTCGCCTTTCCTTAATACACCGGTTCCTCTCACATCGTTGTCTCATCGCGCCGCGTCGCGTCGCGCCGCGCCGCGCCGCAGGCTCGGAGCTGTCACTCGCGTCTTCCGCTACCGCGTAGCGTTGTGCCGCTCGGATCCTCGCTGATTCGTCATGTGCCGGATGATTCGTGAATCATCTCTGGACGATTTAGTGACCTACATAGGTCCACGTGCCCGTAGAGGTGTAGTGAGAAAACAACGTCCGTCTGCTCGCCGTGTCACCTGGTGTTCCGATTGCACGGCGATAATCAATAGGACCGAGCGTTCCGTCTACTACTTGGATAACTTACAGCGACTGACCTAATTCGCTCGCCGAGAATGTTGATAAGCGCGCGATTAACGAAGCGCGATAATGCCGCGGTGTAATCTAGATCTCTTGGCGGGAAAGAATAGAAGTTCGTGAGTTTGAAGGTACCTCGGGGTCTGGATGCTCGAGTCTGTCGTTCGCGTCAGTACAGCTCGTGGAATCGTTTCGACGTTTCGTGCATCGAAGAAACAACGAAGATTGTGTACAATACAAATTATACACGACTGGCTGAGAGCCGAGAGCGATGTAATTGGATGTGCTTCGCTGTTAGATAATCGTAAGTTTCCAGCTGCGCATAACACAGCAGCGTCGCTTATTTGTGCTGATAACCTTTCGTCGCGAATCAGGAATGACGTATCTATCGATCGAGCGACTCGTTTCGCGTAACAGTCGCGAGGCTTCTTTTCTTTTTGTTTAAACATGAGGAATTAAAAAGACCGCGAGACAGTGCATCGCGATGTCGCTGAGTGTCGCTTCTTCGTGTCGCAGGATGCGCATATTTTACTGCGAATTTCTGCTGCGAAAGTCTCGCGCGTTCGTTGGAACAATTACATAAGACGTTCCACGCAACGAGACAAACTAACTCGTGCGAACAACGCGAAGGTTATTACTCAACGTTCACCTTTCCCCTCTCGCCTGCCCTCTCTCTCTCTCTCTCTCTCTCTCTCTCTCTGTCTCTCTTTCTCTCTCTCTCTCTCCTTTTGCGCACTCGACCGTGTGCTGTTAAAAATGTCATCTTTCTTAGTAAACGCTCGCGATTAATAACCATTCCGGACCGTGTGGATCCCCTCGCCGGTTCGAATTCGACCGGCGTACGCCGCAGTTTTTATGATTTCTGCGGATTGCGGATATCCTCTGCGATTACTTCCCGCGGTAAACGAGAAAAAAAAGAGACAGAGAGAATCCCGGCCGAGCGAATCAACCGAATTCGGGCGCTGCGGTGCGCGAATATCTCGAAAACGCCGACATTTAATCGGCGAGGCGTACATGGAAGCTTTCATCCGGCCAAAGAGAGAATGTATAAATTCGTGGGCGAACTTGTTTCGGAATAACCGTGCGAAATTCCGCACAGCGAGGGAAATTTCGCGAGTGACGGGCGAAAAAGAGCGCGGATCCACGAAATTCGCGTACGTTAACAGAAACTCGCGATGTTAAAGAGAAAGAGACACACACACGCGCGCGCGCGCGCGCGCGCGCACACACGCACACACACACCACACGCGCGCACACAGCGCGTATTCGGCGGAAGTCTATTAATTGCATCCATGCGTCCCAAGTTATTAGCCGACGTGCAGAAAAACGCGCAGAAAAAATCGATGAGAATCTATTTCGCTGGCCCGTGTATCACAACGATTCATAATTTCGCCATCGATCGCCGCCACGCTACATGTTTTATGTCCGCCAGACAAAAGAGGAAGGAAAGAAGAAGATGAAACGCGCACGCCGCTTTGCGGGAGTATTAGCGGACAAGCTGATAAAAATCGCGAGCCTCTTCAGAGCGCGACGTAACGCGCGGATGGTACAGAAATTGAGATCCACACTCTCCGCATTTTGCCCGCGCGAGAATTCGTCGCACGCCTCGTACACATAAACAATCGAATCAATGAGCTCGGCGGTTTTATCGGCGGTTTATCTCCGTTCGGCACGATCGAACGAGAGAGAGAGAGAGAGAGAGAGAGAGAGAGAGAGAGAGAGAGAAAGAGAGAGAGAGAGAGAGGCAGCGAGCCGCCAGATGCTTAGGAACATATTATCATCGGCGCGGGACGAGTCGTGTTGTCGACCAGAGCCGTGCGTCCGTTCGTGCGAAGGACGAAATGTACGTTACGATTAACACGTCAGCCGTTCGAGATTAACGGTGATTAAAGGAGAGCGCCGACGTCCCCGTGCGTTTCTCGCGCGCGCGCGCGCGCGCGCGAAGAAAAGCGAGCGAACAGCTCGCGAGCTGTCGCGTCGGTTTTACGAAGCTTCGCGGCGACGAGAGCGCAGCTCGTCAGGATCTATTCCACGGCGTACGGGCGATGCCTGATCCTTCAATAATCTTATCTACGATGTCCGACAGCTGCTGTCAGAGCAGATCTTGTAGCGCGCTGCACCGGGCTTCGACTACTTCCTTTCGCGCCTGGAAATTCCGCAGGAAGTTTCGCTGCCGAAACGCTCCGGTGTAGCAGCGTGCCGAGAGAGTTGGCCAGCAGGATTTCCACGGAAATAATCTGCTTACGGTAATCTTCTTGGCTTGCCTCCCTCCCGGTTAAGGGAGGAGTTGCCCCCACGAGGAGGTCCTTCGTCTCCTTCACGTAGTCGTCATCGTCGTCGTCGTCGTTGCCGTTGTCGTCGTCGACAACGTCGTCGCCGTCTGCGTCGTCATCGTCTGTACACGTACGCTGGCGCGTCTCCTTCGCGGCGACCGCGAAGGACGTTTCGGATCCTAGTTGGCGCTCGATCTTCCAATCTAATGCGTGAGAGCTCTGCCTCGCCGGCACCGAAGCCGTCCGGTCGACGCCAGGACGAAGAGCCAGGACGCGTGTCCCTCCGCCGCGGCGGGAGCCGAGTGTTTCGCCACGGCCGTTGCTGTTTGTCGCGAGCGACATTTTTGCGGCGCGCTCGCGTAAAAGAATGCAACGCGACGACGGCTGGCCGATACCGGTTCGTGAGATCCGACGAGATCCGCGAGTGGTCGACGAGGACGAAGAAGGACACATCGATCGGCTAGGAGGTCTCGCGCCGACCTAGTTTATATTTAGAAGGAAAAGGAGCAACTCGTATATGCACAGCTCTTTGCGAGGATATCAAATGGAGAGGCATCGGAGGACATCGCGACAACGGCGATTGCGACTTCGTTTAAGAAGAGAATTTTATCTCTTCGCCGTCTCTCGGCCGCAAAAAGGCGCCTGTCGTTCGATTCGCGCGATTCGCCGCCTCGCGCAGCTCGTGCAGAGCGAGCTTCCTTCCTCGAGCGGGCCTTCGAAAAACGCGGCGTTTACTGTCTCTCACGAGCAAAAGGAGGACGCGATTGGCATGAATGTAAGGATCCTTACACTGTATACACGCGCAATCGCGAGGAATGAAGTGGACGCTGAGAGATTCCGCGATAGATACGATGGAGGCCGACGCGTGCGACGTTTATGCGCGCCGGAATGGACGTGGCGGAACGAATCGGACGAGTGCATCGTTAATGACGAAGTATTTAAGGTGCGAATGATATCGTGTTAAGGTCGACGGCGATCGCCGGTATTTTCAACAGCTCGAAAGCAAGACCGAAAGAATGCGCGCTGCTGGTGTCTCTCTGCCCGGGAGGGAGAAAGGAAGACAGAGAGAGAGAGATGCAAAACTGCAAAAATCGGGAGAGAGTACTCGAAGTGCCAGGGTCGTGATTATCTTGACCCTCGTTCCCCGTGCTGAAAGATAATTTCGCAGAAGAACAGCGCACGTGCGCCTCGATCTAAGATGACTTCGCCGCTGAAGAAGACGCGGAAGCCGAACAACAAAGTTGCCGAGAGAGTTTCCAGGGCTTCCACGCGATGGACGGTCTGCACGCAAGGACACACATCGCGTCTTTCGTGTTAACGAGCTGTTAATTCTTCTCGCGACGCAACTTCGGTCTCGACGTAACGTCATGGCGCGATCGAGTGACGGATTTCGTAACGCGAGAGCCCGAGTTTATTCCAATGAACAAACTCGCGATAGAAATTCTCTCTCTTGCTCTCTCTCTCTCTCTCTCTCTCTCTCGCTCTCGCACAAGTCGAAACACATTACACACCGCCGGCGAAGAGACGCCCCCGTTCCCTCGAAGGGAGACCTCGGATAGGCATTCGCGGTCCCTCGGTTCTCCGATTCACGGATTCAATCTCCTCTTCAGCCTCGGAGCGTCGAAACTCTCTCGTCGGGAACCCTGCTCGATGTTATCACGTGCGAACGGGCCCTAATGTTACGCCGTGCCTTCGACGGGAGGATTGACGCGGCCACCATAGAACCGTGAATGTCGGCCCGAGGGAACAAAACCTTCTCGAAATTGGCTCCGAGGAATCAGTAAGTTCCGCCGTCCGTCAGGGCGGAAAGAAGGATGAGGAGAAACGCTGGCGTATATACGGCGGACGTACGGGGAAGGGGGCCGGGGAGGATAGAGAGACGACGAAACGGAGGAGGCTCATCCCCGTGGACGGGCGGCGACGGGGTGCAAGCCCCATCGGCATCTCCTTTTTTGCCGGCCGAGAATAAAGACTAACTACCGGAGAACGAGCCCCCGGCCCGGAGGTATACCCTTGTCGCTCGTATACCTCGTGGAATTTCTACGGGAATTAAGTTTTACGCTCAATGAACGCGCAACAAACGCCGCAGCCGTACTCCGAACGGCGGCGGGGCGGACGGGGACGAGGAAGAAGGGGGCTAAAATTGCATTCAACGCGAGTCTCTCCTCCGCGTAGAGACGTTTCCTCGTGCACGACTCGGTGCGCATGGCTACGTGCTCGCCGCCATGCCTCTCGACGGAGGTATCCCGCTATAAATCCGTCTGCATAAAATGTGCGACTTTGCGACATAAAGCTGCGTCTCCGTGGAAAAGAGAGAGAGAGAGAGAGAGAGAGAGAGAGAGAGAGAGAGAGAGAGAGAGAGAGAGAGAGAGAGAGAGAGAGGAGAGAGAGAGAGAGAGAGAGAGAGAAGGAAAGTTCAGATTCTCGATGCCGGGAGCAATTATTTCGTGAGACGTCCTCTTAGCGCGGACTCCCGCCGGCTGTCACCGGCGGCTACGGGCCGATCGGTGCCGTTTTATCGTTAGATGATTGAATCATTCAAGATTTTATTATCTGATAATGAGGAGGGTGCTTCTCTCTCGTGCTGTTGACACAGTTGTTGACGAGTGATCCGAGGCGTCGCGAATATTTTCGCCGATGTGGAACGAATCGTAATGACCGCCCGCGGCGCTTCGTTGCGAAAAGAGCAACTGAAAGAAAGAGAGAGAGAGAGAGAGAGGGGGGGGAGGAGGAGAGACACATGGGGAGTGGGTGAGATAATTTTGTTACGGATAACGTGATCTTGTTGCACGCTGGGAATATTAAGTGGCGGGTTCGTTCACGAGCTGAGGCAAATAACGACGTGCTTAACGCGTAAAGATTACTGCAAAATTATCGCGGCGGAGTGAGAGAGAGAGAGAGAGAGAGAGAGAGAGAGAGAGAGAGAGAGAGAGAGAGAGAGAGAGAGAGAGAGAGAGAGAGAGAGAGAGAGAGAGAGAGCGGGAATGCGCGCAGCACGGCGACGTCGCCGCGTCGTCGAGAATGCCGCGTGTCGGCGCAATCTCGAAGGATTCGCCCGTGAAATCAGTTAATGCCTCGCTCGTTCGACGAGTACCTTCTGCCTTTCCTCGCGGTACACCTACTCTACTCGCTCGCGCGCCGCCGGAGCACTTCACGCAACGTACGTGAACGCGCTCATTGTGCAGCAACTACGGGGCCGGGCTCTCCACGAACAATGCGGTTGTGTGCAAATACTCGTGGAAACAATGCGGCCGCGACTTAACTTTCTGGGATAGCTCCAGCGGCGGCGGCGGCAGTGTGTCGTTCTTCGTGTACCGGAGGATATACCGAAGCCGCAGACCGCGCTACCTAATGCAGAAACGACGTCGCAGCCGTAGCCGAGCGATGAATCCTGGCGGCGCGACTCGTCTTCGAATGCGCGCGAGGTCTCCTCGCCGCGCCGTCGTTTTCCCGCGGAATCGCCGCCGCATCAGCCAGAAACGGAGTCGCGGCATCCGACGGTCCAGCGGAAATCCTAAAACGATCCTGGATCACCGCGGCTCGCGGATATTCGCGTGCGCGTACGCGTACATCCGTCATCGATTAGAAAAATCCGTCCCAGCGATTTCGCGCGGCAACATCGTGGCCGATCGACGACAGGCCTGAAATCGACTCCTTCGGGCTTGACACTCCGCGGGAATTCGCCGAGGATCCAAGATGTGGCGGAAAGACGCGCACGTGCGCTCTGTTGGCTTAACCGATTCGCCCGGATGCGATTTACCGGACGTTTGTAAATCGAATTCTTCGACGATGAGGGGGGTAGACTCTCTCTTCTTCCCTTGCGTCCTCTTTCTCCCTTCCTCCCTTCCTCTCCTCTCTCTCTCTCTCACTCTCTCTCTCTCTCTCTTTCTCTCTCAATCATGCGCATACGCGCGCGCTAGCGGCATACACGCGGGACATAATAATGGGGATTTAACAGTCATTAGGGACGGCATGCCGGTATATATCTGTCGATTGGTAACGCAAAGTGTTTGCACTAGGGCCGAACTGTCGAAGGGCGAGGGTGGGAGTGCCTCGTTGCACCGGGAGATCGATTCGACGAGAAGGGGGCTCGGGGGTGCGCGCGGGGGTGTAAAAGGCACCCTCGCTATCTTTCTCTAGTACTACCGTTTCTCTCGGGCTCTCCACAGAGTCGTAGACTACTCGAGTGCCCTCGAGGGCCAATCGAGTGGCGGCTTGGGCATTTTGTCCACACTTGGCGGTCTGTAACAAGTGCATTGTCCCATGCATCCAAGTGCACAAAGATAAAGAGACTTCTGGCTACCGCAACAAGAGGATCGTCGAGTGCCCGTTCTTGCTCTTCCCCTCCCTTTCTCCTTCTCTCTCTCTCTCTCTCTCTCTCTCTCTTTACTCCCCACCTGTCCCTTTATTCTGTTTCTTCCTCCATCTTATCCTCGCGCAACGCGGTTTTAATATGACAAAAGTGCAAACAAACGTGCCGTGCGGACGACAGTGCAGCTCGGTGGTCCCTTTACCTTCGAGGGGACAGTCAGGATTTTCGAGCTGAGAAATTCAATTGAACTTGACGACGAAGACTGACCAATATATACACGGTCAACGCGCTCGACATCCCCGAATGAACGTTCGTGCGGCTCCGTGCAAAAGTAAGTCCGCAAGCAATGTGACGTTAGCAAAAGCCAGGGGGACTCGTGTTGTTGGAATACAAAAATAAAATGGATAAGGAAAATTAGCGCGGCGAGCGACAGTGTGTGTGCGGGTTGCGCGTCGCGGTCGTGAAAAAGTTTCCGAAAGTGACGATTGCTCTGGACGTTTTTCGCCCATGCACGCCGCGCCGGACGCGGCGTGTAACAAGTGCTTTGTGGTCGGTGCAAGGCGCGCGTAAGCGCACAAAAGTGGAGATTCGCGCCTGACTGATTCCTGAAGGACTCGGGAGAATACTCTCTGCCTTTCTTCGGGCCTTCGCCCTCTCCTTTCATAGCGGGCAAAATTTTAATATAGCCGGGACGAGAGCGGCGGCTCGGCACGGGGTAGTGTATACTCTATGGATTCTTTTTCACCGGGTGGCAACTTCATTCCGCTCCCGAGGTTCGGCAGGAAATTTGCGCGCTGACGTAATGAGACGTAATATTGGAAACGCAATACGGCGCGGGGGCTCTCGCCTTTTACGTCTGCGATATTAAGTACTCGTAAATTCATCGGGCTGCTGGCCAACATCTGCAAAGTGCTCGTTGCTCTGTGCATTTCGACGAGAGAAAATGTTGTTTCATCGATATGGAATTTTGTTCGTTACACGAGAGAGAGAGAGAGAGAGAGAGAGAGAGGGAGGAAGGGAGAGAATCCGCGATATGATGTCGCATTCAACACGACGCACGAAATTAAATAAATTTAAATTTCTACCGACAAGCAAGTGACAACCGAGCGTAATTCGCAAAGTTCTTATGTTGTCTTACTTCGTGTGGTATTCTTCTTTCTTTTTCTGTCAACACGCCATCGATTCATTTAAATCGTCGAGGTGGATCAATCACGGGGACAGTTAAATCGCGTCACGTATAGCGTATTTCAATAATATCGTCAGTTTATGAGTTTCGATTTATAAGCGCGCACGCAACAGGACGTGATATACACGTATATACACGTATGTACGAGCCAGTATGAGAACGAATGCGGGTGTTTCATCCATATTTGCACGAAAAGACTGGCGCTGTGGCGGCTCTATTAGTACGCTGAAGAGTCCTTTCGTACCGCGCGTTTCTATTCAGTGAAATCTAGTTTCAATATAGCGCGGAGAGAGCTAAGAGAGGACACGGAACAATACATTATTAAAGACGGGCTTGTGCTGGTGTAAGATTTCATTTCGGAATCGCGCACCACCACTCGTCCGGCCGCGCGTCGATGTCAGCTAAACGAGCCACCGTTGTAAATAGAAATCTCCTCGGATGAATACCAGGCCGGTGACTAAGATACCGAACGTCCCGATTGAAATTCATCTCTCTTGAAATTGCGCGCGGATCGGCCATCGTCGTCGCGTGAATCTCGCCGCTCGGCGGCAATCGAATTTCCCTTGAAGGCAGTTTTTGCACCGAGTCATCGTTATCATCGCGCGCGATGTTTCGATCGTCAATAATTCGGCAAGGAAAATAGATACCTGAAAGTTACCGAGTGTCCTCTCTCTCTCTCTCTCTCTCTCTCTCTCTCTCTCTCTCTCTCTCTCTCTCTCTCTCTCTCTCCGTCTCTTGACACTGTATAAAAATTATTAACTCGGGAACACTCATCCTCATCATCATGACGCCCGCGACGCTGTCGTCATCCGATTGTTCTTCGCGGCACGGCTGTTAATTACTTAACGATTAGCATCCCTTAATCCGAGACATGTGGACGGCGACGTCCAGAAGGCAGGAAACAATACGCGTTCGTCCGGCCGCGTCGCAGATGTGCACGGCCGCAGCGCGCAGATGTAATAAACGTGACGGCAAACAAATTAACAAGTCGCCACCACCGGAGAAGGCGGCTGGATGGTGCGCGATGATGGCGGAAGACGCAAGGGAGAGAGGGAGGCCGTCCGATAGTCGCTGTTGTCGTCGTCGTCGTCGTCGTCGTCGTCGTCGTCGTCGTCGTAGTAGTTGGTCGTTCCTGACTTTGTAACCGGAGAGGATAAAACGCGACTTAAGCCAACGGCAAAGAGCGCAGCGGATAGGCTGCGAGCGCGAGAGCTCCGCGTCTTCAGGGTCGGCTCTCTATCTCTCGGTCTAGTCGGTCTCGGTTTTCGGACCGCCGCTGCGTTTTCGGAATTAAGTTGTGAGCTGGTCCCCTGTGAGGGAGAGAGAGAGAGAGGAGAGGGGGGCGGCGAGGTATCTTGGGATGCACCTACCTTTGGAGTCTTATTGCACCTTTCTCGGATTATCCCCGCGTGCGCAGCTGCCAACCTCACGTAGTCCTTACTTTTACCACACCGGGGCGACGATGATCGGCTTGTATTTGTTTAAAGCGCCGCGGTGGCGGCTACCTTCCTCGTCTGCTGCGACGGTGGGAACGATCTACTCGATAATCGGCGCGCCGCAACGGGATTTTTCTCAGTTTCTTGGGAAAGGGCTCGCGGGATGATCAGTGACGGACCACCGCGCGCTTCAGAGTCCAACCGCGAGAGTTTCTTTGTGAAGATTAGCAGAATTATACACCGAGGTTATACACCGGAAAGGCCGCAACGGCTTCTGTAGTAATCTCCATCCTCTAAGTGGTACGTCGCTTTTGTCCTCGGTGATCGGGTGATTCTCGGACTGGCCAATCGGTGACCGGTTACAGCGCGTTTTCGATACTTCCCGACGTATTATATATGGCGCTCTCCCCTTCTGTCTTTTTTTCTACGGGGATAAAATCCTCGTCTAGGATAAAGTTTGTCCTTCGCAGACCAGCGAACGCACACAACACATACATACGCAATGTAGGCAATGCTGACGGCATTCGCGTCGTCTTTCAGGCGGAACCCATAATTTGGACGTCGAGGACGTCTCTCTAGGGAGACCTCAGCGGGGAGGTGGTCGTGCTGGGGGCCGAGGGGGTGGTGATGTGGCCGAACAGCCTCGGAGGTACTTCCGGCTGCAGCGGGGGCGCCGGCGCCACCGATCTCGGGGGTCTCGCCGCCTCCACCACCTCGGCCTCCGAGCTCTTCGGGCCCGCAGCGTTCGGCGCATCCGCCGCCGGGCCCTACGGCGCTCTCAAGACGAATCCCTACGTGAGCGCGCTCGGCATGCCGCCGATCGAGGCGCTGCATTCGACCATCGGTTATCCCGGTTGTACACCCGCCGGTGAGTCCTACTACTGTGAGTGCCCACCATATTGTTTTATTACTTCTAATCGAGATCGAGTCTGGGACGCAACTTTCCCCGTCTGTAGTTTTTGTGTTATTTTGTGTCGCGTCGCGTGGGTGAAATTATATAGGCACGGATCATGCTAGGTGCTCTTTTGCTCTTTCCTGCTCGGCGATTTTACACAGAGAGCCGCGTGAATTCATTTTCACGCGAGTGAAATGACAAAATCACATGTAAAATACAGATGTACGTCGTATGCGTAATTGTAAAATGTTAACAAACGCAGAAGTATCGTTAAAGTGGTGTAATGCGGAATTATTATATTAATCGCGTTAAAATATAAAAGCTATTGAATTATGCATGAAAGTTGCGCCCGGCTTGTGAAAATATTATTATTGTTAATTTAATTATTAATAGTCGGCTCGTTTATTTTATTAATCGCCATCGATTATTATTAAATGACTTATTAAACGTAGCTGACATTGTATACACCGATTTAATATTCATGCATACGTCCGCGAGCTGAAGCCGTACGAATAATAGTTCCGTCGCGTTTAAAGGCAATCCGAGGAAACAACGGCGTGAGAGGACAACGTTCACCCGGGCGCAGCTGGACGTGCTGGAGGGATTGTTCTCGAAGACCAAGTACCCGGACATCTTTATGCGCGAGGAAGTGGCGATGAAGATCAACCTACCGGAGTCGAGAGTGCAGGTAAAGCGCGGGAAGGAAGCCAGTGATGTACCTGTCGGTGTGACGAACGACTCGGCGAGACATGTTACCCAAGTGTAAAAGTGTTTCTCCGGCGTGTCGTGTACGACGGCAGGTAGAAAAATGCGACGCGCACGTAGATGCTCGCGGCGGAGGGTGCGAGAGTGTCTTGTTACCGAGGGGGTATGCAGTGTCGGCATGCAGACAGTGCGGTCGGTCGTCATCGATCCTGCCTCGTGTGTCCTTCGTTAGAGTTAATTAAGTTACTTGCTCGCCTTACGGACGCCCGCGCGACCGCGAGATTCTCGGGCCTAAATGATCGCGCCGTAGTTACAAAGCGAGAGACAAAGCAACTCGTGAGCAACGGCTATACGCAAGCCAAGTACGTATGTACAAACGGCGCGCGCAGTATCCTTGCGCGCGCTGAACAGCTTCGGCTGGCCGAAGAAACTTGTTTTGTGTAACAATACACGAGAAATAGCATCGCTCTTCGAGATCGATATATCGGCGGCCCGCTTTTGAATGCTCTCCCGACTTTTGTATCGTTACGCTCGTGTCGAGAGTTCGCTCGAGCTGGCCGGGCCCGCAGGATCGATCCTAAAACGTGCTGCCGCATATTTCACCCTCATTATCAGCAAAAAGGGCGCAATGCATCCGCAGTCATCGTCCATCACACCTGGCCAATGAAATGAATAGGCCAACACGGTCCATAGTCTTCCGCACGTTCGTCGGCGACTGCAAAACCAGAGACTGCTTGACTCATGATCGCTATTTTCAAACCTCTCCATGATTTTTCGGTGACTGATCTCCATTGTGACGGTAACAAGGCTCGAATCTGTTATACTTTTGCCCAACGTCGCTGCCACCCCACGCGAGCGACTGTTGTCGTCGACTTTTTTCTGTAAAACTGCTCAAAATTTTCAGACGTCTCGTTGTTTTCGACATTTCTCTTTTGGTGCTTTCAAGAAGTCTGAAGCTTCCTGAAATTCGGAAATTCGCGTTAATGTTACGCGTCCGTTACGCGTATCTGGTTATTTTGTTGAAGGAACGCAAGCTGTTAGTGTCGTCCACCAGAAAATCCCAGTAGAAACCCAAGCTCACTTCTTTCTCTCTCTCTCTCTCTCTCTCACACACACACACACACACACACACACACACACACACACACACACTCCTTCTCTCTCTGCTTCTCTTCGCTTCTCTAACATCGATCGCGTGAGGCTTCTCCAGGTTCGTCTCTTTTCCTGTCGTATTTCTCCCCTTTCCCTTCTTCCACTTCGTTCCTCACCGCACCCCCTTGCCGTCGCTACGTGCCAGTGACGTTTCGAACAGAAAACGATGTACCCAACGACGCACAAGAAGTAGCACAGCGTTTCGCACAAAGACGAGAAAATGTCCCAACATTTTTCTGGACGAAGTAAATAGCGAAGCAACTAACTGAGTCGATTATAATATTTATCGGAAGAAATTATAGAAACTTAATAAAATAATTCGAACGTGAAAAGGAAATAAGGGCAAATAAGGGCCCGCCGCAGTTACCAGTGCGTAGTATTGGCGAGCAATGAATTATCTAACCTAACGATAACCGAACATTTGTGTTTCGATTAACAGGTGACTCTTCTCAGTGGTTATACGACACCGATTAAATGTGACGTCGATTATAAAAGTAGAGTTAAATTAACGAACGAAATTGTCGACGTTTCGTACACAACCACTGGCAAACTGCACAGTCTCTTGCTCACTATTCTTTTTTATGCTCGAACTGGCCTCTAAAAGAACCGTACTTAACGTTTATATTTTGTTTTTCACCTCGGCAGAGTAATATCACTTGCGTGCGAACTGCTTGGACTTCGAGCGTGATTTGTAATGTGCGTAAGCGTAATTAGCAGTTTTATAACAAGGTGCCCGTACGAGGTTGCTGGACACTTTAAACGCAAACCGGAGCGATCTCGTTGGTACGCAAAATCGGCTTATTCCATTCAGAGGAGTTGTTCGGTGTTGGGTGTGTGTGTGTGTGTATGTGTGTGTGTGTACGGGGCGAGGAAGTGGGAGAGGTAAAGGGGGACGACCCACACTCCAATCGGTTTTCGTAATTCTGTTGCATTAACGACAGCCTGGTAGCGAACCAGTTCGATATGCGTGCACGTTTTCGTTCGCGCTGCTGCAGTCAGCTTGATTGGTAATTGATAGTCGCGCCAGTCCGGCATTCCCTTATAATTGGCTATTACGCCAGCTTTGCGAAAGCTCCGCGCGGCGCGCATTGCTGGACTCGCGCGCGTTTGTATTGTACGCGTCGTGTCACGTCGAAGAAATCGACGGGAACGTCGCTTCGCTTAATTTCGCGTTCAGACTCCATTTCCCCCGCTGCGGCCATACGAATGCGCGCGCGCGCGCGCGCGCGCGTGCCTGCCACACGCACGAAATGCGTACGTTTTACGTAACGCGTGTGTAACGTCGCGGATATAAAAATTGCTGGCGTGTTCGCAGGTGTGGTTCAAAAATCGCAGAGCCAAATGTCGGCAGCAGCAGAAGCAGCAGCAGCAGCAGCAAGACAAGGCGCCGAGATCGAAGAAACCCACGGGGAATCCGGCCAGCAATCCACCCCCTGGAAAAAGTCCTTCGATTGCCACCACGCCCACGCCCGCCGCCGCGGTGCCCGCCACTACGCCCTTGTAAATATCGCCCTTATCTCGAGAAGTCGCGCGCGCGCGCGAGCGCGAGCGTTCTCGGTCAACCGCGTGATCGCGCCGCGAACGGCCTTTATCTCGGCCGCGAACGCGTCCTCGCGCGCGGGATAACCGACGATCTAATTAAGCTCGCTAATTACTATTTCAATTGCAAGTGTGCGCGCTGTATATATGTCCACCGGGAGATATCCATTATAAACGACGGCGGAGGCTGCATAGCTGCTCCTTCATCTCCCGCGCCGGCCGTGCGCGCTCTCTTCGTCGCGCTTGAATCTCGCGAAGTCCGGAACGCTAATCGACCGACCGGGTGGCGCGAGAGAGCGGAATGCACCAAATGCTACAATGCGCGTTTCTGTATTTAGGAGCGGAGGTACCGGCGGCTCGGCGGCAAGTTCACCGGCGCTTCTGAGGGACTCGCCGCAATATAAGCCCGCGGGGAACGCTACTAGTTTGCTGTTAGCGGCCAGCACGACTCCACCGAGCGTAAGTGGTCGACTGCCTCGCGGCGCACCTTTGGCGTTTATCCACGCACGATAAGCCAATCTAGACTCCTCGAGCCTCCTCCCTCTGTGCTGCGCTTCATGGCACTCTCGGAATAATCTTGTTCTTTATCGTATCCGCACGCGCGCGCACCCCGTTATCCCGTTCTCTGTTCTGTGTCCCACAGTTAAGCGGCACGGTATACAGCAGCGGTGGCAGTAGCAGTAGTATTTGGAGCCCGGCGATAACGGAGAGCGGCGGGGGATTTCCAAGTGATCATCAAAGGTTAGCGTGGACGACAACCGCTTCTCAGCAGCAGTGCTACCAGAATTACTCATCGTACTACACCAATATGGATTACCTCTCGCCCGCCTCGCATCAGTTGAACGTTGTGGTAAGTGGACTGACTATTCCCCCGTAAAGTTATCTCCCGGACGAGAACGTGTCCTCCTCCTCCTCCTCCCCCCCCCCTTTTCTAAATCCATTCCCCATTTAAATGCACGGCGATTATGACTAATGTGTAATAAAAGCCGAGTGGAAAAACCGGCCAAGAAAAGACGTTCTACGGCGTTACGTAAAAGAGAATCGATATTGTGTCGGCAGGACAGCGGAGGTAGCGGCCTTGACAATTCATGGAGCAAAACGAGAGACGAGAGCGCCTCGTCTTGGTTCTACAACAGCGCCGGATGGGGTGATCGAAAGTGAAGCTAGGAGAATCGCGGAACGAAGGCTGGGTACATATCATCGACAACAACAGCGAGGGTAATGCGGTATGCAACGGCATATTGCAGTGTCGTTGTAATACGGTGCCAAACTAGAAGCTCCACTTCCAGTGAGTGTCGATGTAGATTAAACATATCCTTCATTCGGCCAGCGTTCAGGCACCTTGGGATGTACAGGCCGATCGAGAGTGCCATACGTATCCTATCGCATTTAATGATACGACATAGTTTAAATATATTTATGACGTAATCATTTCGATACGAGACGACGTACTGCGAGCGGTCGTGTATTTTTTCAGATACATTTCCGACTGAGATTCACGGCGGTTTATTAATGTGTGCGAGATAGCTTCTTCTACAGATTATTTACATCTCGGAACTTGTATCGAGTGATGCGTCTTATCTAGAGTATTAGAAATTCGAGATGATCTCAAGTCGACGATTACGATTTTTTGAGGCCCCTGTGTTTCATCACCGTGGCCATTTTGTCTAACGATGTTAGAAACGAGAAAAAATACATGCTCAAAATTCCCGCAAAGTTTGTCGAAATAGAAAAATATGCCCATAAAATGACTTTGGTTAATGATGGAGCAGATTTTTATAATAATTTGCACATTATTCTTTTGCTCTAATGATCAATAAAAATTAACATGAGAAGAACGTGTAATTGACAAGTTAATTACATATTATGTTAATTTTACCGGCTACTTGTTATAAAAAAAATGAAAATTTTCGGAAACGTTTAGAGAAGTAAGTTCTCGGTCGATCGAGAAGTTTCACTATATGGATGTATATTTTTCCATTTCAAAGTATTTTGCAACAATTTTGAGGATGCATTTCCTCGCTTCTGACGTTATCAGTCAAGATGACCGCGATGAGGAATTAGCAACTTAATAAAAGGGACATTTTGCATTCTTAATTTCCTCAAAATGCGTTGAAAGTGCAGACTCTCGTTGATATCCAACTAGTCATAATAATAAAATAAACATCGATCAAGAGGTAAGAGAGAGAAAGCGTTATTATAACATGTCTCGAATGAAAGATTCAATATGAAAAATTATTCCGAGGAAGTTATTTTCCGCTTTTTGCATATTATTGCTTTATATTATATCTCAATAATATTACAACGTAACGCTTTCAATAGTCAAGATAAATATTTTACAGTCACGACATATTTGACAGCGCCTTGTTCTAGGCGCGCTGATATAATGATTTCGTATGTTTTCCAGTACAGATAACTATACTGTATATAATATAAATACTTTTATGATATTAAGAAAAAAAAATTGATCTAGCTAGGATTCCGTTGAATAGCTAATGGAAGACGCGTTTGTTTCTTTTAACTCTCCGATGAAGGAAGGATTGACAACGGGAAAATTTTTGAAAAGAGATATCTGCGTGTGTGCACGCGACATGTGTACACTGTGTACATAAATTATATATAAAAGCATATAGTGCAGGTCTATGTACATATGTATTATTCTTTCATGTAGGAATATATCATTACCTGACTTTTAAAACGGACGTCATTACGGACGTTGAAGTTGTTAATTATTTCCATTTCGGATGCATTTGTTTCACGTGCGAAATAAAATGTCATCTTTTATATACAAAAAAAAAATTTATTAATTATGTACACACATATATCACATACACACCGTCCTGCTGTCGAAGAATACGTGTTAGGTTTATCATGTATGTATTACCTTGTATTATCTTCGTACGCAGAGGAAAGGAACGACTTTTGAAATAGCTTGAAGTTATACATTTCTTATATCTGACAATCAGTGTCGTAATATACGATTTTTTTCAAGACTTGGAGCTTCGTTTGTTATTACTTGATCCTTTTTTAATATACCAGCGATTGATAATATTGCTTCCGCACCATGTCTATTTGTGTATCGCAATTGTTCACACATATCTCCTATTCGGTTAAATTTGACGAATGTATATAGATAAATTTATCTACTATCACATTGTCAGCGTGCGCAAAATGTTTTCATTATCATAGGATATAATGGCAATTTTTAGTAGATACCCAATCGGACGGTTTGCGTACATTGCTTTTGGTAAAACTTTCATTACCGTTATTTGAACATTTCGCGAAGAAATCGATGATGAAGCTTCATGAGAAATCGATACTACATATTAATATTTGCGTCATGTAACGAAAATATCGGTTGTTCTACAGACGTGAACGTCGATTGAACATAGAATAGAAAAAAGAAATAAAAAATCCATATGTAAAGTGAGAGAAGAGATTTAAGATCCGTAGGAATATAAGTATGTGACTGTTTAGATTGTTATTATAAATATTATCAATAAGTATAAGACGATCGACGAGCAAAACAACGACGTACATGTCTCAAGATGTATGAAGATAATATATCGAATTTGAATTGTATACGGATGATTTTTATTTTTTTTTCCACCTTTACGACTAGAGAGTCCTGCTCAAGAATATTCAACATCAAAAGATATTCTTTCTTTGTTTAACCATTATTTTTGTTACGGTAATTGTAAAGAAATATTTCTTAGCCTTCCTTCACATCATCTTTGAGGAAAAGTCGTACAATATAGATGTTGAAAGATTTCGCCCGTTTATCACACAGTTATTCTGTTAAATAGGTGTTATCTGTTGAAGAACATATTTCAGAAAGTTGGTACCTTACAAACGAAATTTATTTTCCAATTTGAGAATGCTCGCGTAATATATCATATTTTATTCTTAAACTTGTTACGTTACAATTCTATTGATTTGAAATACTTTATTCATACGTAAATATTAATATCTCGATATCATTCCTGTTGAATTTTAATATCAATAATTGAAAGTTCAATTTTTATCTTTGAAATTGACATCATTTTTAATTGGTGACGTTTATTGAACTACTGAGAGGAGAGTAACTCTTATCAACTGAAACATCGACAATATACTATAGTTAATGTTAAATAGTTAATGTTAAATAGTTATTATAGTATGATTATCAGATATAATGATTATTGGTTTTTGATAATTACAGTAAAGTTCTTATTTTCTTTCTTACGTTTTTCTTATACGTTTCTAGTATTTGAAGTTTATTTTTTATTGTTACAAATTATACTCATTATATCAGATGCGATATTAAGAGAGAATATTTCGACAAAACATTGATAACTAATGTTAAGACTCCTATTTATTATTCATTTTTGACGTTTAAAATAATTAATACTAAAAGATGACAAATTTCATGGAAAAAATTAAATATGCGAGCAATCAATGTAAATAAATAAAACATATGGATATATAAGAGATCTAATGAATAATTGTGTCCAACAAATGAACAAATAAAAGCGATTCTTTTTGCGCTGCATTTCTAGGACACTGTTCGATCGACTGAAGAAGTTTCATTACACTCGATGCGTTGTGCACTCTGACGGCGAAGAGATCAAGCACATTCATCTTTGGTGCATCGGTGAAGTATCATTTAAGCCATTGATCTGGGCTGAAGTTTCAGGACTAGCATTGGGAGTAGGGATGCAACGATTTTTCAAAATATCGATAACGATATTATCGTCATTCAGAACCATCGATAGCGATAATATCGATAATTTCGAAAAATATCGATATTTATATAAAAAAATATATATATATAGGGATATGCATGTATAGGGTATGTACGAAAAATTTGGAAAGATCTTTTAAAAATTTTTATCTTCATATAATTTATTGTCGTATTCTTATTAGAAAATATATAATGAACCGCAGTCGTTTGCCGGAGATCACTACATACATGGAGCAGGAGATCTATTACGGTTCAACGATTCAAGTGGAAATTATAAAAGTGAGCGAATTTACTAGACATCGAGCAATTATATAATATATATTCTAATGAATTCACCCACTTTTGTAATTTTCATCTCGGTCGTAGAACCGTAATCCTATCGATATTCATATCGATATGTCGATTTTATCGGAGGCAAAAAATATCGATAAATATTCGATATTTGTCCCTCGATATATCGATATTTCGATATTACCGACTTATCGTTGCATCCCTAATTGGGGAGATCTTCATGGTCTAGCATGTTAGAGACAAATTTGATAGCCAAGAGATTTTATATTGTTCGACCGAAACATTTTTGTTTAGTCTATTGCAACGTTAACATACGTAAATTATTTTCCTTCGTGCAAGATTTGTACGACAAGTGATATTAAATAAGAAGTCGTACGTTTGTTAATAATAACATATCTATGGATGGCCTAGAAATTACACACGGCAACGACCCAGACTAATCGATTATCATTTGCTCGACGAGTCTCTTGGAAAACACGTATTATAGCTGTTCGGCATAGAGCCCATATACTTGTCAATAATTCCATTTACAAGTTTTTCCAATTTCTCAGGAATATATTCTAAATGTATCACAAGCGATCGTTTCGACGGAAAGTATCATTTTAGATGAGATCAACTAAGTGTGACAACGATTTGAGAACGTAGATTATCTCATCTTATTAATGTATTTTAATTTTGTCAGATATGCATGTGTTACGTCCTCGATGAAATACTCAGTACATACAGCATATCGGATATCGGATATTTACTTTGATTTAAACACTTCCAACAATTGTTCGTCCAAAGTCTCGACAATTTGAATCATTTTCTTTCAATCGACTTCCGCTGGATATACAATTTCATCAATGACATGTTTGTCGATATGTGAATATACCATTATGATGTGCACGAGGGCCTACGAAGGATAAAGTTAAATACATACATGTATTAATGCCTGGTAATTCTGTAGTCGAATACGTTATCGGAATTTCCTACAAAAAATCGCGCAATTTCCAGTATAACAAAAAATGTACATCGCAATTTTCTCTATCGTTCACACATACAAACACATGCCTGTAAACATTAATATAGTGCCTATTTACCACCAGACTCTTCATATGTTTATCTAAAATACATATATCCTTCGTAGTTCTCACGTTCTATAGCACCGAAGTTCTCAGAGTAATATCGAATCTCACGATCGCCGCTATATGGAATATTACAGACGTCTTCTGAATTAACATGTGTCTGTCAGCCTCCGACAAACCTAGACTCTTAAAGGCAATGTCACCTTTCACGGGAATCAATTTTTTTTTGGTACTGTAGCTATATGCGACATTATTACATTGCTATTGGGAATTATTCTGCAAATTGAAAGAGAGAGAGAGAGAGAGAGAGAGAGAGAGAGAAAATATAGAAAGAATCCTTTTCACTTTCCTTCTTTCTCTTTCTTCCTCTCTCCTTCTATCTCCTTTTCCTTTCTCATTCTTTTCTGCTCACGCATACATACATAAGATACAATTTTATTTGTCTCTTTTTTCACAGCCTTGAAGTGTACAACAGCATCTCAATTGGAGCACCTTAATACTGTTGGTTGATTGATTGACATATCTGTTTGTAGATATACAGGTTAAACTTCGCCCTGTTACCCTGTTAGAATTTGTCGCACATGATGTAAAAGACGGTGCTAAAGGGAAAAAGAAGAACAACAGCTACGTTTAAACAACTGCCGCCATCTGACCCTTTTCGCACTTTCGTACAAATTCTCAAGGTTGCAGAAAACTATTTTTCATCATCCCCAGAATACGTCCTTGAACGAATATATCACACCATTTTTCTCTCCTCTTGCGATCCTTTTGCATTTGAAATAAAAGAGATCGCACTGTCGGAACGAAAGTATGCAATCCGTTTCATATTTCGAGCAGTGCGAGCATTGACCGTTTCTCGAAAGAAAGGATGTTCCTTCGCAGAGGGGTGTACGTGTATCTGTGCTTAAATGAATGACGAATCTATTGAGGAGAAAGAAAATACAAAGATACACCATTTTTACAAAAGTAATAACAAGGAAAGAGAAGAAGAAAACAAAATAACGTTAAAAATTGTTTAACAGAACTACAATCGTTGGATATACGATTTGTATTTAATTAAACCTTCGATCAAAAATTGTGAATGATTCGCAGTTATAAATACTGATCTTAAATTGTGTCGACTTGCAAAGAGTTTGTTGAATAAGAGGATTTTTTAACAAAAGAAAGAAAAGAAATACTGTTTTAACAAAAGAAAGAAAAGAATTACTAAAATGTAACAGAGTCTAAAAATGTAACAGAGATATAACTGAAAGATTGATAAACTTTTACGAGCTTCTAATATATTAAATTAAATGCAAGAGAAAGATATTTCTTACATTTTGTCCTTATGATGCACAAGCACATGTAAAGAAAGTGTGTACTTCTTATTTCTTATATACTTTCTTAATAATAACAATAAACTGAATATTTCTGTATAAATATAAATATATAGATAAACTTGTAGAACGGAATTTGAAATTAAAAGGACATATAATTAAAAAAACAACTTAACGTTTACTATAAGTGTCAGATTAACTCTTTTGTGGCATTTTTTAGCCTGATGGATTTCTGTGAAATCTTCATTTTTATGTTTCCATCATTTTTATGTTTTTTGGATTGCTGATTACAAATCTAAAGTCAAATTTCAAAAATTCAAAACGGCAGATCCAATATGACTGCAACATAGGAGTAAATTAGTATAAGTCCGAATAAATGTAAATCAAATACATGATGTAAACGTTTATGAAAATTGTTAATTACGAATTTAGATTTACAACATTTAAAATAACGGATTCAATATAGCTAGAGTAAAACTTTAAAAATATTAATAATAATATTAATTAAATTAATAATATTATTAATATTATATCAATAAAATATAACAAAAAATATACATAAATATGCTAAAAATGTAAATTATATAAGTTTTATGAGTTTTGAGTTACGAATTTGGTGTCAAATTCGAAAAATTTGAAATAGCTAAACCGATATGGACCTTATAAAAGAGGAGATTTATGAAAATATATGTACATATGCGAGAAATACGATTTATAAAAAATTATGGAATTATATCTCCCAAAACTCGTGAAGAATGTTCGATAAAATTCTTTAATCTTAAATACTGCCCAAAAAATTAATTTTTTTTTAAATCACTTTTCTCAGCTTTATTCGTTCATAATAATTAAAAACGAACAATCAGATATAAAAACCATGGGAAACATATAAAGTAAGTATTAATATATCAGAAAAATGTAAGATTATACTTGTTTTCATTAAACTGTAAACAATATGTTGTAAAAATGAAAGAGGAAGAAGTGGAAAATATATTTGCCATTAACACACAAAGACCCGGGTCATTAATCCGTATTAGGAAGGCGCTGACACGTCAATTGATTTATTATTTTCAAACCTTTCAACACTATTGTATGTTTTTTAACGTTACACTGCTACTGTATGTGTCGCGTGCT